CTGAGGTCGAGTCAGAGCCTAATTCCCCTGACGTTGATGGCGATGTTGCGATGGGTAGCACCGGTTTCGGCAGAAGTGCATCGCCTGAAGTGCAAATCAAGAAGGAAGCGCCTGCCGAAATTACTTCGACTGGATTAGAAGAGGAGACGACGATTGGGGTGGGTGTTGGCGCTATGTTGGCTATGCTGCGGCAGAGGCAATTGGTTGATGGCGCTATGGATCCGGAGACCCACCGGAAGATGCAGGAGAAGGAAGCATTCTTAGCAAAACAGCGTGTCGCGAAATCAGAGGCTGATACGAAGGCTAGGGCCGCAAGAGAGCGGGATCGTAAGAGCGGAAAGTTTGATAAGATGTCAGCCCGTGAAAAGGAGGAGTATGCTCGTTATGAGAACAAGCTCAGAGATACACAGGAAGCAAGAGAAGCTGCTGCTCGGTTCAAGGACTATAAGCCAGATGTCAAGATTGAGCATAAGGATGAATACGGCAGAACGATGAACCAGAAGGAGGCATTCAAGTACCTGTCTCATCAATTCCACGGAAAGGGTTCTGGTAAGCAGAAAACGGAGAAGAAGCTGAAGAAGATTGAGGATGACAAGAAGAGAATGGCAGCAAGCAGTTTGAACCCGGAGGGATTGGTTGGTGCTATTGCAGATACGGCAAAGAAGTCGAGGACGGCAGGTGTTAGGCTCATGTAAATTACCTACTTTCCTTGATACGGGTTTATTGGGTCCCGATAGGAGGTTTAGACTGGAGTTTTGAGGCGGTTCTGTGTGCTTCGACCAATTGAAATGCAATACCATGCACATTCCCAATGTCTACCTGAGTGTTTATATTACAATCTATTGCTATGCTACACGGCCCTGCTGTGTTATCAAACCACGCCTGAGAATGCTGTTATGATGCTGCCTTCACAATAATTTCAAATGCCCTGTAATTTGGTTGACCACGCTTTTAGGAGCCGGTCCGATCCCCAGAACCGTCGCAGAACCAGATGCAATCTGTGTTCTCCCAGCATCTCTGACCACCTTGGCAACCAGTCCCAAGCTCATAGCCTGTGCCTGTAGCGTCAACAGTTCATCCTCCGAATCTACTTTCAAGGCTATCTTAGCCTGACCGAGATATTCCCAACGTTTGAGGATAAGTGGAGCATGACGGCTAACGGCTTTATAACAGGCGAGAGTAGCGTGGCCGCACTGAGCGGCGATTTTCCCTTTGGTCATTCCGAGATCGGTACGGACGCAAAATACCTAGAGAGGGAGTCGGTTTAAGGTTAGATAAATGCTTATTTTGGGTTTTTATAATGCAGCGTGCATTGGGAGGTTATAGTGGATGAACAGATAATGCCTAAGAGCCCCAGCTTGAAGACACTCTGAACTAGGGGCAATACCAACGGCATGAACCGTGGGGGCTATAACAGTATATAGTGTCCTCCTTCTCTAGACGGGGTAGTGGAAATTGCCAGGTGGAGGGTCATGGGCGTACCATCTTGCATTCTTCAGTCAAGGCACTGGTACTAAAATGACTGTAATCGGACTGGATCATAGCATCATTATCACTGTCCTCTTCCTCGTCGTCATCGTCGCCGTCACCATTTCCGTCGGCCTCGGTGGCACTGATGTTCTCGAAAGAGTCCTTTGAGGTAGAAGATGCGATAGGCGACTTTGCTTTCGACGGGGCCGACTTCTTCGACTGGTCTGGACCAGATTGCGGCTCAGATGCAGCAGGAAGGTCCCGTATCTTGCTGGAAGAAGAGCCGATATAGTATCCACCCAAGCCACTGGCGAGGGCCGTGGCAAGGAGTATGATGAGGAGGGAGGGAGGGAGATCCATCCGGGCCGTTGTGCTGGATGATGTGAAGGGCATTTGATTTGGTGGTGGTGTTGGTGGTGGTTTAAAGTACTTAGTCTCGTGGGGTTCCTGTTATAATTAGTCTAGTGTGGGGTATCCAATATATGCCCCGTTTTGATATGTCGACTCATACATATTGCTATAGTTGTGAGCTCGCGGAGCTGCTACAGCCAGCATATTATATTTTACACGCGCATTAATTTTATCTCATTCGAATTCAACCGCTCATTGATCCTTCACTCATAGCTGCTATATAGATGTCACGTATAGAGGTGCCAATTCGGTGACTAACTGGTGCGGGGAAACGCAATGGATCTGGGCGAGATCTCAATTATCGTCCAGGACCCGGGTGAAGGGAATAAACCGGATGGATCTAGGCTGTCGGCGACCTTTCCATGCGCTCGAGTCGAATCATTCTCAGCTCCCCCACGTGAGGCTGCTGTTCTGCTTATACATAGCGCGATCACCATGCCAGGAAATTTCGAAACTCAGACGCCCGTCCCTGCCGATTGGGCTTCTTTGCTTCTTTGCGTGCGCGAAAGCAGGTCACTGTGGTCCGGACGCTAACGGCATCCATCGCTGAAAAAATTGAGCTGCTGGGGGTCGAGGCGAGGCACGAAAAAAAACAAACGAGCTCCGGTTCTCGCTCAGCAGCAGCTCGCCTTTAACCTCTCGAATATAAGACCCCTCGAGACTTCCTCCTTTTGTGTCTCATTGCTCCTTCTCATCAATTGAAATTTTGCCTTGATCAAACTGTTGCCTTGCAAGCTTGCAGCCTTTATAGCATAGTCACAATGCAGACCGCTGTTCGTTCCGTAGTCCGCGCTTCGGCCCGCCAGAACCTCCTCTCATCTCGAGCCGGAGCTCAGGCCGTTCGGTCCGTGTCCACTTGGTCCAGTGTCGTCGAAGGCCCCCCAGTAAGTCATCACATTGCAAATTCCTGTTGGCTTTTTTGTTTTTTTATCTCTTTCCCTCGGTTGGGGCCCATGGCGGGGTCGTTTGGTGCCCGGTCCGGTTTGGTTTCACGGGAAATTATTTCTCCACATGCTCTTGATAACGAGGTAGCTAACCTATCATACGGCGGACTTTCTAGGATGTAAGCATACTTTCTCCCTTATCGGATCAATTGATAGGAAACCAGCTTCGGGAAGTCGGTGGCTAACCTTGTTTTCGTCGCGGTTCGGAATGTAGGCTATTCTAGGTATGTTGCCGGCCGTGATGCTTTATCTGATGGTTGGTGGGGGTGGGGAAGATAAAGATGCATGATGGCTAACACCCGCTTACAGGTATCACCGAAGCTTTCAAGGCCGACAAGAACCCCAAGAAGGTCAACGTCGGTAAGTTATATACACATCCTGCTTGAATCCTATAACCACAAGCTAACCGGTTATCAAGGTGTCGGCGCATATCGCGATGACAGCGGCAAGCCCTATGTCCTCCCGTCCGTCCGAGCAGCCGAGAAAAACATCTTCGCTCGCGGGGCCGACAAGGAATACGCTGGCATTACCGGTGTCCCAGCCTTCACCAAGGCCGCCGCCAGCCTTGCCTACGGCCCGGAGTCTGCTCCCTTGAAGGACGGTCGTGTCTCCATCACCCAATCCATCTCCGGCACTGGTGCCCTCAGGATTGGTGGTGAATTCTTCGCCAAGTTCTACCCGGGCGAGAAGACCATCTATATTCCTGCCCCATCGTGGCCAAACCACAAGGTCCTGTTCACCAACTCTGGACTGAAGGTCAAGGAGTACAGGTACTATGACAAGACCGGTATCAAGCTCGATGCCGCTGGTATGCTCGAGGACATCAAGAACGCCCCACAGGGTTCCATCATCCTCCTCCACGCTTGTGCCCACAACCCTACCGGTATCGACCCTACCACTGAGCAATGGGCCGACATCTCCAAGTTGGTCAAGGAGAAGAACCACTTCGTCTTCTTCGATATGGCCTACCAGGGTTTCGCCTCTGGTGATATCAACAAGGATGCCGCCGCCATGAGACAATTCGTTGCTGACGGACACAACGTTGCCGTTGCTCAGTCGTTCGCTAAGAACATGGGTCTCTACGGTGAGAGAGTTGGTGCTTTCTCTTTGGTCACTGAATCCCCAGCCGAGAAGAAGGCTCTTGATTCTCAGTTGAAGATTCTTATCAGGCCAATGTACAGGTAAGGGTATCATATTTCCTTTTGCATTGTGAAAAGTTTGTTAACATGAGTTATTTTATAGCAACCCACCTATCAACGGTGCTCTCATTGCTAGCGAGATCCTCAACAGCCCCGAGTTGACCTCCCAGTGGCTCGGTGAAGTTAAGGGAATGGCTGACCGCATCATCGTCATGCGAGACTCCCTCAAGAGCAACCTTGAGAAGCTCGGCTCCCAGAAGGACTGGTCTCACATCACCTCCCAGGTACGTCTTCCCACATTATTCATACTCAATATTTGGCGTCTTTGGACTTTTCTAATTCGGTTTCGGGTAGATCGGCATGTTCACCTACACTGGCCTCACCCCAGAGCAAGTCGGCCGTCTTGCCCAGGAGTTCTCCATCTACGGAACCAAGGACGGACGTATGTCCGTCTCTGGCTTCAACTCCGGCAACGTCGAATACGTCGCTGAGGCCATCCACAAGGTCACCTCTTCCTAGATACCCTCCTTTTCGTCCTCCCTTTCTCCTCCCTAAATATACAGACTTAGAAACTTCCTTACCATAGCCACTATTCTTAATGTCTGCATAAATATTTTTAAAAAAGAAGGACACATCTTTTTTCTCTCCAACACACGCCCTAACTTGTAAATTCCACATGGACGATTTTTCGATTATCCTATTTACCCCCCTGAAAAGTCTTTGTCTCCCCTTCCATTTACACCTTTTCTTTCTTTTTTACCTTACAGACATCCCCCATTCACAAGAAATATATTACATTCGTGTAGTTATGTATATACGGAGGAGAATAAAGTGAAGAAAAGGATTTATCTCTTTAAATTTTAGTTCTACGTGTCTATATTAAGGTAGGTTTGGGGCTTTGAATTTAAATATAACCGCATCTATAGGACAAAAATGATATATTCCCTGCAAGGGTGAAAGGTGCGACTTTGAGACCGACATCTCGATTGATATTGATTCGATTACATGGGTATGGGGATAAAAAAGTAAAAAGAACTGACCTCGACGAGGATCGAACTCGCAATCTTCAGTGGATGACATTCAACTCGGATTAGAGTTGAATACCGAAAACTGACGCCTTGCCATTAGGCCACGGGGCCGGAGCATGTCGTCGAATCGTCGCCGCTGCGTTACTGCTGTGTCGAAACAGCGACGCAGTATCTCGTCTTAGGTCGCGGACAACACATTTTGGTGTTCAATATCCAACACGGCTGGGTCGCAAGGCTTTTGGAATTTGCGTATTGTTGCTGGGCAGTGCGGGGACGTCGAGGCTGATGGATTTAAATTCACTACGGGTTGGGGTTGATCGTGTTGATAGAGATCAGCCCTAGACTTAACCTGAGTTTGAATTCGAAGCTTCCTAGAACGTTCCCTGGGTATCGAATACTATCCACCTATAAATACGGTCGACTGGACAGGAAATCTATCCTCCTCGAATTGGTGCGGATTACATATTCTTAGGATATTTGGTTCTGTACAAATGGCAAGCGCGGGGGTTATTCGAGAATTGGATGGTAGGGATCCGAACTATGAGTTTGTAGGACAGTTAGGACACGGCGCGTTTGGATCCATCGCAAAAGTCCGTCGAGTTAGTGATGGAAAGGTGAGATATCCCTGAACCATTTCTTTCGGATATTACTTGCCTTTAAGGGCCCGGCTTTATCTCGTAATCTAAATGCTGCTGTGGTTGACTCGGCTGGGCTCAAGAACCTGCCGGTATTGATTTTTACATACACGTACTAAATAATATGGCATTTACTCTCACTAGATGATGGCTTGCAAAGCAATCGACTGCTCTGTCGGACCTTTCTCTATAGCCCTTGCGAACCGCGAAATATCAACATGGTCTACATTCTCTACTTCAGAGAAATATATTGCTAGGTTTGCCTACGATGTTACGTGGACCAAGAGCACGAAAACTATCCGGATATACATGAAGCTTTACGAAGGGGGTGATCTACAAAGCGTCATTACGGCATGTAGACACCAGGACTCGGTTGTTCATCCATTCATGGCGACCTACTGGGCTATGGAGATTGCTAGGGGTTTGAAGGCTTGCCATGATAATGGTATTATTCATAGGGATTTGAAGCCAGCGAATGGTGAGTGATATTCCAGGTGACGTCTAATTTGAATCATAGAAGGTACGGGGTTATATATTATCAGGGTCTTATTGCTTACTTGTTTGTAGTTCTGCTGGATATGCCATATACATACAATGATCTGCTTTGGAAAATTTTCCGGGACATAGATCAGGAGCAGCAGCATCTAGTTTACGAGATAAATCAGGACGATCAAGAGCTCACAGGTATTTCGTTTTTCTGCTCCCTTAGAGTTTTTCTCCTTCTCCTCCTCCTCCTCCTCCTCCTCCTTCTTCTTCTTCTTCTTTACTTCTACGTTGTATTGGCCTCTGTGCAGTGGATAACGATATGGTATACGGTCAAAGTTGCGCATTGTATAGCTGATAAAGTTCGTGCTATTTAATATTCTTGGTAGATGCCGAGGGCACGCTCATAGAGGAATTCTCAACCTGGTTTGAGAACCGCTCGAATTCTCCCTGGTGTCATATCTCAGACTTTGGTTTTGGAAAATTCACTTCCGCAGCATACTTGTCTGCAAAACATAGCAATGGTTCGATGGGTACCATTGGGACCATGGGGTATTTGGCACCTGAGATAATTAACCAAGAGCCAAAATTCTCGATGAAATCGGATGTTTACAGCTTCGGGTGTCTAATCTACTGCCTTTGCACCGGCAAACCACCGCCGCCCACCGCTGTCGAAGGAGAACAACGGCCAGAAATCCCCCCTCCCTATCCACCGACATTTAGAAAAATCATTACACGATGCCTGGAATTCGATCCGGCAGACCGGCCGAATAGCAGGGAACTATCCAACGTAATGGCAGACGAATTTCTCGAAATTGCGATCGAATATAACTCTACTGGTGGTATAATGGGTATGGCTGAGCCGTCAGAGTCCTTAGGCCCGAAGCCTGAGCGCTTTACGCCAGGTAATACCATCCCGTATTTTAGAGACAATTTAGAGCTTACGATTGACCCTCCGAATTTTTTTTAGAAATACGAGAATCACTAAATGATTGCCTTCGTCGGGCTGTGGCAGCGGAGAATATCGAATGGATGGATGTTTTAATCAAAGTCGGTGCCGATGTCAACGCAGGTATACTCGATTTTAAACGGGTTACTCCTCCGATATTCGACACAAAGGCATTAGTTAAAGTCGCCCATCCATTTAAATCACTAGATCATGCTTTTAATAGCCTAAACCTTCGGAGACTATATTCTCGAATTTACCTCAAGAAAGCCACGTTCCCATTGTTAAGCGCCGCGGCTTTCAATGGCTCAGCTGAGGTAGTCGAATTCTTGCTCTCGAGAGGCGCCGCGAAAGACGAAAATCCAAATCGTATAGATCCTCTATCGATGGCAGCGTCTCAGGGCTTCCTAGGTATTGTCGATACTCTTGTCTCCAAATGGGGCTACAATGTCAACAGTCAAACTATTAACCCACTTTGCATTTGGTGGGGGAAATTTACTCCCATAGCCGTAGTGGCTGGATATGGGAATACAGAAGGTGTGGAAAGGCTACTGTACCATGGGGCGTCACCCCTTGTCCTCGGAGATAGTGGTACTGCACTACACCAAGTTATGAGCATGTCGTGGTCTGGTACCCAGGTGTCCCAGAGGGAGGACTCTATGTCCGATATATTAAGAACTCGCCTGGATGATGTCGAGGCCTGCGCTCTGTTGATTTTTAACGCTGGGCCACTAGCAATTTATTATAATAATGCTTTGGGACAAATGCCTCTTCATATTGCGGTGGCAGGAGCCCAGTATTTTGGATTAAGATTTGTGGACTTCCTTATCACTCTAGGAGCTGATCCGAATGTTCAAAATTCCGCTGGGGAAGATGCGTACCATGTTAAAGGCATTGGTGGTGTCGAGGCTGTCGCGGAGGCATACCCAGAAGTAAAGGCAGCTTTGGACCGTCACATACATAAACTCGAGGGCATACACAGCTACACACATCCGACTATTTATAGTTTAGGATATAATAGGCCTTGGGTTTTAGACAGCGTCCGAAACTAGGGGGAAAAAAACAGGCCATTTATGTACATACACTAACAAAACCCAACTAGCTGCATGCATTGGTACGGTTATATGTATATATGGCGTCCAAGGCAGAGGTGAGCGTCCTCTGGACTAATATGGCGTAGGCAGGGACGAGGATGCAAGCCGAATTTAATGCATTTCTTAGTATGTACATAACTACTTGTCCATGATAGATATCACCTCACATAAATATGGGGAACCTGTGCATGTGGGAGGCTGGGCGACTAGGCCCTTGGAAACGAGACCAGTATACAGCTATTATTATATATAGATGCTAGGTGCTTGAATCAAGTAGCAAAAGGTAGCCTTGGATCAAAGGGTACCAATTCTCTGCTGTAATGGAAAGGCCAATAAGCTATGTATATACGTATTGGATTTAATACTATAATTTTGTGAACAGTCGATCACGTCTCCAACAAGAAATTTCATCTCTCTCCGTTCGTCCACCGTAGGAGCAATCCTCGCGCACGACGGCTGGGCCGAAGCTGAAGAGTTGGTATATATATGCGCATATAGCAGATGATATCTAGTGTTGAGGCCTAAGCTAAACGTTAACATTGGAATGCTTCCACCGACAATGCCATGATCGGGCTCGTCGCGCGGCCCTGTAATCCAAAGGACAATGCGCGCTTGGAATGTCATCGCTCGCTAGTAATACGACAAAGGGTAAGTGGAAAGAAGAATATCTACACAAAGCTCAAAAGTTTGATATCACTGGTAGTGTCCCTGGTGATCTTGCTCCCATTTCTCTAAAAGTTCCAATGCCTTCTTTTTCTGACTTTCGTTTCCTGAGCCATATAATACCCATCCCTTACAATCGAATTCTCCTCCAGATTTCTCTGAAATCGAAGCACCATAATCTAAGAGTAATTGCATCATCTTTAAGCTACACGTACGGCTTGCTCGTTGAAGCGGGGTCCAGTAGCTAGGTTCGTCGCCCACTTTTTGACTTGTGCTCATCCCGCCATTTGTTTTCCGGCTTTGGTCCCACCCACCATATGCTGGATGGTTGGAGTCCGCCCCAGCAACTAGTAACGCGCAAACGACTTCGAGGTGACCCATTTGGACCGGCCAGTCGAGCAAGGGCGACAGTTCCTCCGCTGGGTATTTTTGTAACTTGAGAAGATAAAGTACTGCCTCGTGACGCCCTTGGCTACAAGCGAATGACAGGGCGGTATTATCACCCTTTGCTTTTGCCTGTGGATCACATCCATGCTCGATTGCCCATTGTAGAAGCGATAAATGTCCTTCTTTTGCAGCGTGATGTGCCACGGTCATGTATTCGCTGTCGTGGGCAGTTGTATTAGCACCGTGACTAACGAGCAATCTTGAAATATCTAGTAGCCCCCTCATTACTGCTAAGATGAGGGGAGTTTCGCTTCTGTCGGATGTTCGAAGGTTGGGGTCTGCTCCGTTTTCCAGAAGTAGCTTTACGATATCTGCCCTGCCTTTTGTGACGGCCCAGTGTAATGGGGACCAACCGGCGACTTTTATATTGAGATCGGCACCGTTTTGGATTAGCCATTTTGCCGTGTCTCCGGCGTCGCTGATGATGGCCCATAGTAGAGGTGGTTTTAACTCAACTATATCCCCGAAGGTCTGGATTGTATTCTCTGGGTTTACTTGCCCGAGATCCTGACTAACCATTAGTTTAGCGACTCGGAGGTAGTCGAAATGGATAGCTAAATTAAACCCTGTAGCGGTTGAAATATCATCCTCACAGTAAGTAGATATCCCTCTAGGGATCTTATCGAATAGGACGTCGAATTTAGTGTCCTGTTTAAGAAGCTGGACCGCAAGATCATCTATTTGCGGACTATTGGCTCTACTAGCATGGAAACCCCACATCTCAGCAGAGTAGGAGAGAAGGCCATATGTTCGTGCTTTAGCTTCACGCCATCCCCTGCTCGATCCATCGTCCGAAACGATCTCAGTTAAATCTGTTTTATCGATGTAGTTGATGCATTCCTT